CCTAAAAACCTAAACATCTTCTTTAAAGTATTTTTATTTTGTTATTCAATTTATTTTCATTCATCCAATATTATTAATTATTTAATTAAATTAAGTTTTTTAATAGTACAATTTGAGTTCTAAATACGCAACTAAATTTTAGTTCTTTTTTATTATTTTAGATTATATTTAAGTTTATATTGTAATAAATAATATTTTATTAAATTTTACTGATTTGTACCTGAAAATGTTCACTTATACCTGGTTAAACCTAACTGGAGTTAAAAAAAAAAAAAACCCAAAACGTGGGCAAATCCAACCCATCAGTTAAGATTTTAATTGGTTTTGAATTTTTTTTCCCATTGTGATTTTTTTTGCGCCCTCCCGTACTAAAACCCCTTCTAATGAACTGGTTAGGAACAAGTTTGGCTTTTGAAAGACATTTGTTGGCATGTGCTACTTGGAAAATAAGTTGTCTTTGTACGTATATAGTATGACAAGTCTCAAACATAAAAATATAAACAATTATACTTCAAATAGGATTTAAAAAAATCTACTTTTTGTTTGAGTATATATAACTGTTCATTTTTAATTGTATTAAAGTGTAAAAAGTTATTCATATAAATAATTATTATTTTAATTAATAATTAAAATAGTAAATTTGTTGTTCATTAGAAATACTAATACGGTAAATGATCAACAAAAAATTAGTTAAATTGATACATATTAACTTAAAAATTTTGATTTGGGAAACTCCAACAATGTCTTTCACCCGTAGGTTTAGGGTTAGGGTTTTGAGAGAAGTCCGTCTAGGATGTATTGACTCCAATACTCTAAAAAAGGGGTTGAATTGAAGCTTTAAATTTTTTCTTCAAAATTCATGAGCAACATATATATTTCAACATGTCTATACAACATTATATTGCAAAATTCTAGTGTCGTAAGAAATTTTTGTGTTAATTGTAATATCATTTCTATACAATTAATGAAGTATTTTAGTTTGAGGTTCAAAATTATGCTCACAAATTACTATCTCTACAATCAAGATTCCAATAAATCTCCTTACTCTTGAGTAGAAGCAAAATCAACTTATATAAGTAGACACAGGAAAAAAATGACTTATGTATTAAGTGATTCATAAATTTCTCAAAAACATTATTAATGATGAAGTTAAAAATTTATTTGCTTATATTATATGATATAAAGTTATATTTATGTTCCTACAATTGGTGAATTGGGTTTGCTTTTGGTTCTTTGTTTGTCTCTTTGTTTCAATAGGTGCAAAGCAACATGCCCTAAGCATCTAAATTAACATTATCCGATGCTTGAGGAATAGGGTTTGTGTCATTTTTTTTTTTTTTTGGTATTAACCTTATGATATATGGTCATTACATAAAATCTTGATTAATTTGAAATTGAGTTGCATCAAACCCCATAAAAGGGAAAGCTTTCCTAATATTTGCTTTTCCATTTATAAGACTTGAACTCAAAATTTTATTTAAGAAGAACCAAATTTTTTGCAAAAAAATCAAATTTATTGCATTTGAATTAACAAACCATTGATACAGGGTCTGTATTGTTGACATAGGATTTGGAGATAGATGCAAAGCAATGCCCTAAAATTTAAGATCTCACAAAGCTTTGTCTATGTTTCAGCCTAGAATATTAGCGTTGGTTTTGTGAGATATTCTCTCTTCCTGGTTTCTTTTTGAATGTATGCATATTCAATCTTCCAGGTTTTAAGAGCTCCAAAACTTAATAAACAACGAAGAGAAAGAAGTGCAGAAAAGAAAAGGTATAACATAAAATAAAATAAATTATAACACTAGTATGAGAGAGATATAATAATATAAATGCTTAGTATGAGAGAGATATAATAAAATAAATGTAAAAATAAAAAGAGAAAAAAGAAAGAATAGATAAAGAAAGAGAAGACATCTAAAAATGGAGATAAAAGGTGAATACATTCTAGCCACTCGTAGTTGAGGAATTGAGCAGCCGGAATTCTATGTAGGAGTTGAACGAAATAAAAGTATGTAAATATATTTTTTAGATATATTATTTAAATAAAATTTTAATTTATTATTTATTATTATAAATGATTGAGATTTATATAATTTTTTAAATAAAAAATAATTATTTTTAATACTTATGATAAAAATAAATAAATTTTAACTATTTAAAATAAAGAGATAAATAATTTAGATTTTTTATAAGTATGATGTATAAAACTTATATATAAATACATTCCAACTCATATAAATATTTGTCAAGTAAAATATGATAAATTGAATAAATCTCAATAATTTAAAGTGAGAGATGAATGGTCTAAAATTTTGTTTAAGTGATGTGTTTGAGAAGGAAAATGATTTGTTGACACTCAACACCCGAGTGTGCACACTCCCTATTGAAAAAAAAAAAAAAGCCCATCACCACCCGGTCTAATTTTTTTTATTATGTGGGGGTGCACACCCGGGTGTAGGATTCGGGTGTGCACCAATCAAGGTCCGTTTGAGAATTGTGTATAAGAGTTATGTATAAGTAGATTTTACCTCATATATAATATAAGGAGGAATCCACTTATATATAAGTTTTACACATTATATTTACATAAAATTTTAATCATTTATTTTTTTTATTTTTAATAGTTAAAATTTATCATATTTTTTAAATAAAAGTTAATTATTTTTAATAAATATGAATAAATCTCAATAATTAAAAACAGATAAATTAATGATTAAGATTTTCTATAAATGTTATATATAAATTTATGTGTAAATAAATCCCTATTCATAATATATATATACATATATATTATGTTAGGTATATAGGAATGAACCCCAGTACCAAGTTTCCAAGCCAATGCTTGGTAGATATACATTTTTATGTTTGACATTTAATCTGTCTTTTTCAGGCATAGGTAAAACTAGCATTATCTAACCTGTTTTTTTGAGTTGTTATAATGTATTTATATTTTTAAAAAAGAAAAAATTATTGTTAAAATTAAACAATAAAATAAAAGATTTATCGAATATATGTTCTTAAGAGTATAATAAATATATCATTTTATAATTAATTTATATAAAATATCATAAAAATTAATTTTTATTTTAATATTATTACTACATGAATAGTTTTAATTGATTAATTAATTAAATTAAAGTTAATTTTTATATTTTTAATATAAATTAATTATAAAAATATATAATAAATACACTATTAAATCACATAATAAAAAGACCCTAAAATATAAAATGCACATTCCACCCGTTTGCCAGGTTTTATTCCTCATAAGTTAGGTATCTGCTACTCAGCCCACTATCGATGTTAACCGAACTCTATGGCCCAACAAATTATTGTGGGCTTATTCAAAACTGATATTGAAAAAGCTGAAGTCAAACAGCCCACGCCCTTCCGTC